ATATATTATTACAATCTAATAAATTAATATATATATATATATATATATATATATATATATATATATTAATCCTCAAATTTAATATAAATTTTATTATTGTAAAAATTTAGAATGAGAAAACAGCTTTTGGTATTTTCTGAAGTTTTAGTATTTCTTTGCATTAAATATTAATTTCAGCAAAAAATTTATTTAAAAATATTACAACGATATTGAATTTACTTCAGACTAGAATTATGAAATAATATACATATTGAAAATTTCAACGATATAAATTCGTTTCATAAATATTTTAGCAATTACAAACTTCGATATAATAAAGTTAAATTTACGCAATTTTAAGACAAGGTATTTTTCTTTTGAAAATTTAATTTTATTTAAAATCATGCACTGAAAAGAAACATACGGTTTTAAACATATAATAGAAAAGCTTTAATTAATAAAACTTACCGCATGAATTCCACAAAATGAATTTAAATTTTACAAAATTCATTTTTATCACACACAGCCATTTATTTTAATTTTGAAGTTTAAGTACGGATAAAACTTAAAAAAAATTCACTAGCACGTGTCGTTATATTTTTAAAATTTACATTTATTATTAGTTTATGATATAAATAAATAAAATTTATTAGTTTTCTTATAAAATATATTTTATTTGTCGGATATAAAGTACAACCGTCTCCTTCGACGGTTCGAACGAAACTGAAATTGAAAATGTTCGTGCATTTTGTTCGCGGTTCGTTGTTCTTTGGGAGAACTTTGTCTGAGAAATAAAATAATTAAAAAATATTATATATGAGAGCAACTTGCCAATATGCAATTATGAAAAAACTTTTTGTTTGTCTCGAATTTGTATATATTGCTTTATTATTTAAAAGTCAGGAAACTTGTGAAAAAAATCTTGGAAACTCGATATGTGAGCGTGAGGTTTTTAGGGGAAGAGGTGATTTGAAAAAAAAAATTACAAAATATCACTTAGGGGAGGGAGGAATATAGTAAGTTATCACATGTATTTATTTTTACCGGAATTTTTGAAAAAAAACAAACATTTTCAAGAAAAATTCAAAAATTTTCCAATTTTTTCTCGTAACTAAATTTACACGTAATATTTGATGGAAACCGGGGGGGGGGGGCAGGTTAATTTGGAATATTACCACCAATCCTGATTAAATGCACTAACTTTTGATGAAACTTGCCAACACACTTTAAAACAATTTTTTTAAAAAAAAGCCTCTCAAAGATGACCGAGTTTAAAAAAATCAAATTCATACATTATCAAAATGTTTTAATTCTTGAAAACGTGTTGCAAATTTGTCATTATTTTTGACTGTTTTTTATTAATTTTATTTTTATTATTATTTGCTTATATTTTATATCAAATCATATTACGGATATTATTTTCATGTAAATTTTATCTTTTGCACTTTTATTTATTTAAATCTATGTTATTATTTATCAATATTACTTGATGTTAATAATTTAACAGTTGTAATACTTATTGAAATTAAAAAAAAAATTTGACTGTGGTCTTAAAAATGTTATTCACGGTTACAAATCCAAAGTTTAAATGATCAAAATTAATAAAAATTAACGACAATAACCGAAAAAGGTACATAGTTTCACCAAAGTTGTAGGTTATTACCCAGGGGAAAGGGGGGTTCAAAAATCCTTAAAAAATCCTTAAAAATCCTTAAAAAATCGATCACGTGATTAATGGACTTTTCCTTAGATGGCTCTTCCTTATAGAATTTACTCGAATGCTTCTAAATTTGTGAAATTCAAATTTTGACTCATTACATCACAATAGCAACTTTTGGCACAAATTTTTGACCCTCACATTTTTTCAAACTTTGGCTATTTTTTTAAATTAAACCACTAGCCGTAGGGCTGTAAAATTTTAGTATATTCTTCAAAACCATGATTCTATCTATAAAAAAATGATCTATTCATATAAAAAAATTCATGACAATCGTCTATTTTTTTTTTTTTTTTGGAGCAACGCCTTTTGTTTGGGTACCTCTCCAGGTTCTTGGAAATCCTAATTTTGTTTGCTTTGGATGCATTTCTAGGAAGCTTTTAATTACGAGTAAATTTCTATATGTATCAATGTGTAATTTTCGAGTTATAAAGATATATATAAGGCAGGCAGAAAGGTCACAAAACTAATTAATCCTTATCTAGAAGCAACACTAAATCAAGTCGAGAGCATTCTCTCCCATGTACATTACCGACTGATGATAATATAATGTATGACTTGGCTTTATGGATAAATATATACATTGGTGGACATATACATTATATATATATATATATATATACAAATATAATTTAATGTATATTATACCGTATATTGTAGAACGAGCTCTTAAGCGCTTAAGACTGATTTACAATTCATTGAGCAAGAATGCAGATGCACATTATTTAACATTATATATATATATATATATATATATATACATATATATATATAGGGTGTCCCACAACTCAACGTCAAGCCTAAAGGGATGCATCAGTAATTTTCTTAACTGTCCTGAAAAAAATTTAAGAAAAAATATTATGCACGCTTTTTGGTAATTATGAGCTTTTGTAGAGCTTTGGTGAAATTATGACCATTTTTCGATTATTGTGTTTAATTTTTACCAATTTTGTTTATTTAAACTTTAGAACCGTAACCGTAAATAACATTTCTAGGACCACAGTCAAAAATATTAACACAATTGCCTACAAGATTTCAAGTATTAAGACTTTTTGCACATTTAGCTCTATATCTTCGAAATGGCGGGCCTTGCCTTTGTCAAAAACTAATCACCTCTTCTCCCAATCATTACAAATTAAATATTTTTTGGATAATACCAATCCGATACTCCGTTCTCTCAAAAATCGATTTGTATTTTCTGCACTTGTTGCTCC